AGACGTTTTGTTACCACAAGTGGAGTAAGTTTTGTTCCATCAACACAAATGCAACAAAGTAAACTAATTCTGGCTTTATCCCGATCCACTTCGGTATAAACCTGCTCTCCCGACTCAACAGATGCATAAACAATTTGTTGAGTGGCGTCTACCCATTGAGCAAAACCAATTTCGTCTAAATTAAAAACCAATTCGAAACGTACCCCATCAAGTTTTTTCTTTAAGTCGGAATAATAGGACATAATTGACTCTGGTTTAACTTCTGCCCTATTTTTTTCCATTACAGGTGCCACTTTTTTCTCTAAACCTTCAATGTGTCCGACAATTTGATGCAATTGCCTCCTCTCTAAATTTTTCCCGAAATTTTGCTTAATAAACAAGCCAGCACCCAAAAAAGAACTCCCCACATTTTTATTTTCAGCTTGAAGTTTTTCAATTTCTAAATCTGTTAGCTTTCTTGGTCGTCCTTTTTCGGGTTTTTGTCCTGTTTTCATTTCTTTTTTAATTTTAGAAATTTGTGTTTTAACTCCATGAGATTTCATTGTCCCGAAAAAAGCTCCAAAGATACCAAAAATGAAAGATTGTTTGTTTTGAGCGATTCTGAAATATCGGACGGAAGTTCAAAAAAACAAAAACGGATCTGATCTCTAAAAGAATGAAAATTGAGCCAAATTACATTTTTTTTTCTAAATTTTTAAACTTTTCAAAAGTGTCTGGACATGTTTTAAGATATTCAATGAGGCCTAAACTATTTGGAATTTTAGGACCTGCAAGGTGGAGGCTTTTAACCTTTTCCGAGCTCAGTTTATAAGGCTGTTTAATACCAGAAGGTGCCATAAGTTTATAAAGATTATGTTTGGTCGAATTATATATCACATGATGTTTTAAGGATTCTGATAAATATTAAAAATGTAATTATTTAAATTATAATGTATAGTTTTATTGTTGGCGTGCATCACTTTTTTTATCTGAACTTACTCGTAGTTATATGTAGTATACCTGGGTTATCAAATGGGGTTTTAAGCTCAATCAACTCATTGGATTGATGCGTTGTTATTGATTAAACTTATTGCAAACAATTTAAGTATTGTTATATTTAATGAACTAATGTTTTGTGTGTGTTGGATTTGTTTTTTATAGAATAGTTATAATAAATTACTTAAATAAAATTTATAGTTTTTATTTTAAAAAAACTATTTACATTCTATTAATAAATAATAATCATTCTGATATTTTTTAGTAAATATAGTTATATATTTATTGTTCTTTGGTTATATCATTTCGTTACTTTAATTGAAGAATCTATAAAACATAAAACGCATGTTTTGATCTGGATTGATTTAAATGAAAGCCACAACACAATTCATTTAACTGTCAAATAAATAAGAGTATACAACCAAATTGATTCTTCGATGAATCGAATTTATTAACAACTATAATTGAATAATTGTTAATATTCGTAATTGTGTTGTATGTTCACTATTGGGGCAGTGATGAAGTTCAGAAATTAATTTTTTCTTTTCTCTTCCTATCTTTAATTTCATCCCTTTGTGAATTAATTTAATAATATTTTAATTTAATTAACTATAAAAAATCATTTTTATCCTATAATAAACACCAAATTAACACCATATGTGCTTGATGAAACACTGTGTAAATAATTAATAAAAACAATTTTTGTCTTTCGGGCAACATTTAACTGTGTCATTGAATCATTATTCATTTATAAACTATCATCTTTTGGTTACATGTTGAAAGAATACAACCTCTTTCTTCAACAATTTTTATACCCAAATTAATAAATACATTTTTGGGCAACATAATTAAATGGACAATAAAACCGATACCTTCACCATCTTGGCTTTATATAACTTAAAAATATAATTAATTGTTTTACAATGCCATATTATTTTTTTGTGATTTTGCTCGAGGTTTTAAAACCGCTTCCCTTCTTTTTGGTGTAAACTTGCCAATAAATTACATGTATTTTGGTATTTAAAAGTAAATTATGCCACCTTTTTGAAACTTTTATTCGAGTTAATTTTATCAGCAAAATATTGTATTTTGTTGCCAATTTGTTAAAAATTGTAGTATGAAACACAGATTTTTTTGATTTTTTTACCAATAAGAAATGTTGCCGACTTTGGAGATACCATGCATTATCTTTTTCGTCTTATTGTTATCCTCTCTTCTCGGCGTATAAAACCGATACCATACCAAATCAAAAATGAACTACACTAAAATAATACCAAAAAGACTGGTTTTGTAAAACAATTGAAAAGTTTTTAAATTTTATCAAAAAACACAGAAAAAATATATCGGCATCCAAGCGTCTTAAAAACCGCTTCCATCATTTTGTCCTTTAAATTTTATTGAAAATTACCATATTTATTGTTTTGCTTCTTTTTTGGTCATAATTTATTAAAAAATTGTTCACGCACTTGAAGATGCATTGTACATACAATACTCAACATGAACTTGAAAAAGAGTTGGGAATGGGGAATTCAAACATCTTCACTTGGAACTTGCCAATATAAAATATTTTAATTTGGCCATAAAACGCACTTTTGATTAATTGAGGAATAAATTTTTAGGGGTGATGGAAAAAAGGTGCATTCATCTTCTGATACAAAAATGTATGTATATCATTATAAAATATGATCAAACTCTGTTAGAACATTAAATTTTATTCTTGAGTATGTTTATAACTACCACAAGTATCATCGATTCTACTCTTAAAAAACAATGAAAAAAATTTAGAGGAAAATAAAGGGGGTGTGAAAAAAAGGTGCACTCATAGGTTCAAGATTTATTAGTTTTTGTATTCCAACAAAAAATCGAAAAAGAGTTCGAAAAACAATTCAAAATAATTTTTGGTGTGTAACATTGTATTTTCGTTTTTATGTAATTAATTGTCCTCAAAATAAACTTTTGCTTGCTACTTTTAATAGTCTCGGTTTATGGCTTCGGCAAACTTTGCTCTTTTTATGTAATAAAAAAATTTTCACAAAAAAATAAAAAGGCTCTTTTCATTTTGTAAAATATTGTTTGAATAAAAAACCCTGAATTTATATCTTTTTATTGTTGAAACAGGAAAAAAATAAACTATAAATTAAATTATAGTTAAATTAACAAAAAACTATTTTTTTGAAAGAATCGGTTTTTAAGCGGAAGCGGTTTTTTATCCCCCCTTTAAATGTAATTGGGAAATTATTATAATTGTACAGTATGAGGAAATAAAGGAATGATAGAGAAAGGACGACACTCCCAACTATTGGTTATTTTTAATATAAATATATTTTAATAATTATTTAAATAATTAAAAATGAAAAATATTAAATAAAATTCATATTTAGATTAGCATCTTGCTTTTCTAATGACTGTATATTAAATTTAATTAGAGAATGTAAAATTGATTTAAATTTATATAAATAAATAACAAGAATTAAATCCATTTACTAAGCTTATTATACTATAATAATGTAAACACTTATAAACATTATTATAAACAAATGATACAATATAATTATTTTCTTATATTTTTAAAAAATATTTCGATGTGTTTATACTATTTTAATAATAACTTGAATAAACTCAAAAAATTAATTAACATGGAAAACAAGTTAAAAGCACTTCAGGCATTATTAATAACTGCAACAAAAGCAGTATTAGATTTTGAAAATTCTAAGAATGAATATAACTTTGTTGACAACAAGTCACTTGCCATAGCACAACGCATTGTTAACGCAGAGAAGTATAATGACAGACTTAATGAAACATTGATGAGAAAATATAATATCACGACTTTACTCAACATAATTGTTACTGATTTAAAAAACATAACAACTAAAATTGAAAATGAGTTGGCGTCATATTTAAAGCAAAGTGACAACGACAAGAAGTATGAAATATGTTCTCTCAGAATTTCACTTTATGAAGAAAAATGCAAAATAGACATTCAACCATTTGAAAAAGTAATCACCAAAATTGTCCAAGCAAAAAACATAAAAGTTGATGAAATAAAGAATATTATCAGTTTATATAAACAACACGACGAATGTAATGAACAACATCAAGAAGAAAACACTGTTGTTAAAAAAGATGAAAAAGTAATTAAAATAGAACAACAAGAAAAAGAAGTAAAAGTTGAACAAGAAGTGGAGAGAATAAATATCGAACACATTACAATTGAAGAAAAAACAGTCTTGAGAAGTTGACAGAAATGAAAATTGGAAGTGTTTTGTTTGACTCAGACAGAGACAATTGGTCACAAAACACCTCCGTCTTTGAAGAAAAAATAAATAACACAAACAAAAAATGTATTTTAATAGAAGACACAAATCACAACAAATTTGGTGGTGTAGTCGATTGCAAAATTGATTTTAATAGCAAATTTTTAAGTTACAGTACTTATATATATTCACTCGTAAGAAATGGCATTTTAAATCCAAAGAAGTTTGAAAAGAAGTGTCTCTTTGCTAATGATATTTGTCTATATCCTCGAGATGATATAACATTATTCACTATTGGATTTGGATTTAGTACTAATGATATTCACGTGAACAAGAAAGGTGTTGATGGTAGTTGTTGTAAACCATATGATTACACTGCCAAACAGAATGATTTGACAGATAATGACATTTTTACTATAAAAAATATTGTTGTTTACCAACTCAATTAATTTTTTTTGCTTATTTTTGTTTTTATTTTATTTTAAACATTTGCTGAATATGATAAATTAGTTATTATATGTCTATTAAAGTTGGTCTTATAACGTTTTTATTTATTGATCGTCGTTTAAAATTTTGTTAGATTGGGTGTTATTTCGACCCGCATTATTGTTATTTTTTTAATAAAATAAAATGAAATAAAAAACGTCTCTTAATAATGAGACCCACTTATGAAAGGTTTAATTGAATTATATATTTCTATGTAAGATTTTTTTTAAAAAAATATAACCATACTATTTCTAAAAAAACAACTAAATATTAAAAATGAAATTATATGAATAGCACTATAATCACGAAAATGAATAGACCAAGCATTTTAGTAGCTCCATTTTTCTGTTGTGGAGTTGTGCATTTTATGCACTCTTGGTCATTACAAGGAGTTTCATAACTTTCTTTACATTTCACACACTCTCCATTTTCCTCAAAGTAATAATCAGGGCACACCGCATAACACTTCCCTTCAACTTTGAATTTTACATCTGCTTTACATTTATCACAAATTTCTCCACTTTGACAACTCTCACAATTTTCTTGGCATTTCAAGCACTTTTGGTTGTCCGAATAAAAACCACTTGGGCAACTCTGACTGCATTTTTTCGATCCAAATTCGAGATTTAATGCGCCAGTGCATTCTTCACATGTTTCTGCGTTGTTGCACATCTTGCAGTTCGCAACTCCACATTTCTTGCAATTACCAGCAGTTCCAAATTCTCCTTCTCCGCACGCTCCACTTGGTGATGTGCATTGGTTGGTTGTCGCAGTTAATTCAAATCCGGCAATACATTTAGTGCAGACGTTTTTGTTGTTACAAGTGTTGCAATTCTTGGTAGTGCATTTCTTACAATAATTGCCATTCACATAAGCGCCTGTTGGGCATGTCGCCAAACACTTCTTTTTGTCTTCTTGAAGCTTGTACGTTCCAGTGCACAATTCACAAACAGCTCCACTCGTACACGTCTTGCAGTTTGCAAGGCAATTCTGGCAATTTGGAGATGTCCCAAACTTCCCGTCTCCGCATGGAATCAATTGACAAGTGTTTGATGCTGTTTTTTGATATCCAGATTTGCATGCAGTGCAGACATTATTTGTACCACATGTTGCACAATTGGCAGTTGAACAAGCAACACACACTTTATTGTTGTTAGGATATTGGCCATTTGGACATGCAGTTAAACAAGCTTTTCTGTCATTTTTTAAGTATTTACCAACTGCACATGTCTCGCAAATTGTAGCATTAGTGCATTTAACACACCCACTCAAACAAGTCACAGCAGGTGGATTAACTGGATTTGATGGGTTGAAATCATATTGTCCTGGAGCTACACACATTCCTCTTGAATCTTGGTTACTTCCAGCTCTGCACTTGTCGCAAATGAGTGTGTTTTTATTACAAGTTTCACAATTTGGATCAAGTACACAACTACCCGAATGGAAGATGTAATTTTGTGACTCATATCCTCTCCAATCGTCTTGTGCCATTCCACACATGACATCCATACTTATCTTAGCAAATCCTCCATTTTCTCCCCAACTTTCTCCCCAAGTGTTTCTAGCAATAAAGTACTCCTTGCCATTCTCTTTGCCATATCCAACTAATATGACTTGGTGGTCGATTAATGGTTTATCACACTTCGCTGCTGGGAATGTAAATATGCCACTTTGGTATTGTTGAATACCCGTTCCAGATGCTTGAATAGCAACCAAAACCGATCCATAGTGATGTATAATCTTCTTTAGTGCCATTACTTGGTTTGCATGAGAACCCGCTTGATTGACAGAGAACACTTGTGGGTAATAGTTTCTCATGTAAATGGGGACTTTTTCATTTTGATCTCCTCTTGGTGTACATGGGGCGGGTTTGGTGTAGTATTCAGTTGTCCCATCCACAAAGGGATAATCAGATTGTAACGAATAAGTTGGCATGCCAGTAATTGCAATGCCAGAATTACCTCCACAACATCTCTTATTTGAGAATCCGTACTGAGAATATTCTTTATCTATAAACCTCTGTGGAGTGAAGTACAATTTTTGGATTTTACTCTCGTCTTTGTTGTTTTTGTAATAAGTCATGTTGGCATACATAATTTGTCCGTGATTGGCAATGGCAGCTGCGTAACAACACCCACAAGACAATTGGTTGATCGGCTTTCCACAAAAGTCTATTTTGGGATGATCAGTATTTTGGTTGACATATGGGCCACAGTATGAAAGTGAAGGTGGAAGTACATTACCTGCTGGAAGAATGGGTAAATCGTCCTTTTTCAAATTACTCTTTTTCATGTTAATAAGTCGTTTTGGAGAAAGGCCAGTTTCAAACTCAATCATGTCAGTAAATTGATTGATGTTAAAGTAAGCATCGCTTTCTGATGTTCTGAGAGAATTTCTATGTCGACAGTCCGCTATTTTCTCTTTGAAAATAGAAAAGCGGTGAAGGCGTTCAGTTGGAGTTAGATACTTTTTGTTGAAGACTACTTCAAACTCTTTGAAAAGATCATAGTCTTTTTTGTTTAAGTCGAAGCCTGCATAAGAAAGTGTAAGTAAGAGTGTTAACACAAACATTTGATGTTTTTGAGTATTTTTATGTTCTTTAAATCCATTTTTTGGTATTTATTAAACTTCTGGTCATAAAAGGTAGATTGATATTTCCGTTTCAATAAACACTAATACACCCTTATTTGAATATTTTTGTGTTGATAAAATCTAATTTATTCAAAAGATAATACATTTTTATTAAACTGTAAACCCTTTATTAAACAGAATAACCTTAAGAATATTCAAAAAGCTGTTTTTATCCAATCCCATTTCATCCTATAAATAACATATATACGCCAAAAATAAAAAATAATAATTAAATAAAAACAAACAAAAGAAAACAAAGACTTTTACAACTTTCAATAAATCTAAATTTAAATTAATCGAACAACATTTAAAAATTATACTAAAAGTTTATTATTTGTAACCATTTCCATAATTTGCTTAAAATAAAATATGGATTTGCTGTTCGAAAACAAAATCAACAAATTTGGATAATTAGAAAATAAAATTAAATTAGATTATTAACGAATTGCTTTTTAATAAAATTTATTATATGAACTAAGTTTTGAAATTAGTTGGTTCTTAAAAGTATAAACAAGTTTTTAAATAATGAGATACAATATTGAATCTATAAATAAATTGTTTAAATGTTGAACAATATATTTAAAAAATCATAAACACAAAAATAAAGTAACAAATTTAACAATATCAATGGTTAATTCAGATGATACAAATTATACAAAAATAGCATTTATGAAATGTCTATTTTCATTAAAAAATATTAAAATGAAAACAAATTTTGATTACATATTTAAATATACACAAATTAAAATGATTTGTAATATATAAACTTAAATTACCTTTTCAATCACGACCACTTTGATTTTTTTTTCTGGTTGAAATGATTTGAAATCAAAATTATAATGAATGTTTGGTATGTGTAACTTTACAAACAAAACAAACAATTGGTGCAAAGTGAATAAACAACGGTTTATTAATGTTATTTAAGATTATTTTTTATCACTGTTATTATTTTACTATAATATCATTAGTCATTATTAGTCTTGTAGTTCAGTTTATTATTTTAAATTAAACAATTTATAAAATTAAAAATGAAACCAAATATAATAATGTAAATTAGACTTAAAATTCAAAAATTCAAATGCCTATAAATTGATAAATGTAATATATACAAAAGAATAACACAAACGATTTATTTTTGCCCAATTATCTAATGTGAATAAAATGTCAATCTTTTTAAAATATTGTTTTATATTTAATATCGTTTATTCCTTTATTTTTTAAGAATAACAATAAACTTTATCTAGTTGTTGGAAAAGTGAGGAATATTGAGTTTATTAAATACATTAAAGTCACTTTTAACGTTGTTATTTTTACAAAGGTCGTCCCTTTTACAAAAAAACACGTCAAATTCTTTAAAAATTAAAAGTTGGGTAATAAATTATAAAAATGGTAAAAAACTGATACAATTTTTTTTAATGTTTCAAAAAAAAATTTACTTTTTAAGTATTAATATTTAGAAACAAAAGACAAAGTCAAAGAAAAAACAAGTTTGAGAAAACGATTATTCCCCTATTAAAGTTGTATGTATTACTACATACAACTTTAAAGGGGGAATACACAAATTTTTGAATAAATATTCCGTTAAAATATACCAATATGAATAACATAGTGTATTTTAAAGTATTGATATTGTGTTCATATTTAAATGTGAATAATTAAAATATAAATAAATAATGTATTTACAAATAAACTTTTGTATCATAAATCATTAACACGACTTAAATAAATTTACAAATTGAGTATTTACGCGGAGCCAGAAACTTATTAAGTGCCAGAATTATTTTAAGAAATGTGTTTGGCACGCGTTTTCATATCAATAATTATCAAGATAAAATAAAAAATAAAAAAATAAAACCCCATGTTTTTTATTAATTAATCTTCAAATTTCTTGGCTCACCTTGAGTTTCTGTCACCCATCAAATACTCTATCTGTATATATATTTAATAATATAATTAAAACATAAAATGTAATGTATTAATAAAATCATTAAATTATGAAATTATCATCTTTAATTTTTAAAATGCATTTTTGGAGCTATGAGATCGGCTGGTATTGCTGTTTTTTGTCTTCCTTTTTCTTCGTAATCAACAAGAAATTGTAATTTTTTTTGGAAGAACAAGATCATCTGGAGGTAATACTTTGGGAACATCTTCTACTTTCTTTTCATTTTTTGGATGTACTCTTGGCTTTTCACCTGGCAAAAGTAAATCATCTGGGGGTAAAACTCTGGGCACATCTTCGGTGATTGACATTAAATATTAGGAAAAAAGAAATTTGTTTATATACAATTTATTACACACAGTGCAATAAAAAAAAAGACATGTATATAACTCAATTTATTACACAACATATTAATAATTTGTTGTATTATAAAATTAAATCAACAAATCTTCATTATTAGATATAATCTATTAATTTAATTATTGAAGTAATAAAATTGATCAATTAGTGTTATAATATTTATATATAGATGACACTACACAAATATTTTTAATAACTTTATTGTAGTATATAAATAATAATACTTAACAATAATTTAATAATATAATTAATTTATTTGAATAGATAAACTATAAAATATGCGAATTTAAATTGGATTTAGAAAATAAAGTTAATGTGCATATTTTATTAAGTTTATAATTACGTTTTAGTTGTTTAATGTTATTTAATGGACTAAAATAACTTTAATTTTATATACACATTAAACATTAAAAAATGAAAATAATAGAAATGTACCATTGTGATGACTTCTTGATATATTACGTTTATTGTGGTCGAAAATACACAAGATAACTTTTAAAGACAAAATTTATTCAAGTTGTTGAACAATTATTCACATTAAGAAAATTAATTTCATTGTTTTATTTAAAGCACATTAACGTGATCATAGAAGAGCATAAAAAATAACAAAAAGTAAGAAAGTCGAATTATTATAATGATTAGGACTTGTAATATATTTCCCAAATGTTTAAAATAATTATAACTAAAGTACTTTTAAATGATATTACCATGAAAACTATCTTATATTGATATATATTACATTTAATAACAGTGAACCCTTAAACAAAGATGATATTTAATTAAAAGTTTATTAAATTAATTAACAACTTTATCAATTGTTATGGACAATTTAAATAAACTTTTATCACAAATTGACAATTTAGTCATAACGATAGTATTGTTAAAATTAACAATAGTTTTTTATTGATCATATTACTGAGAAAATGTTCAACTTATTAAAATATATAATAAATAAATATCATTTGAAATATAAGAAAAGAAAAATTATAATAAAGTATAACATATAGTTAAAGGCTTTTATTGTTGTAAATAAGTTATTATGTAGCAAAGTCTTTTTCAATGAAATTTATTTTTAAATAAATTTTTAGTTTTTAATTCAACAAAAGTTACGAATACAAAAATAATTTATTGTTGTACACCTAAAATTATTGACCAGTTATTGCAACAAATTAGCATATTCGAAAATTAGACAAATAAACGCCTCTAACTGTATATTATATTATATTATATTATATTATATTATATTATATTATATTATATTATATTATATTATATTATATTATATTATATTATATTATATTATATTATATTATATTATATTATATTATATTATATTATATTATATTATATTATATTATATTATATT